AAATGTGCTAAGCAGCTAAAGCATTGCAAAAATATTGTCCAAATGTAAAAAGAGGTTAATTATTATGCTATGATTAATCTAATTTAATAAATATTATAGGTTTGAACATATAAATTGTTGTAAGATATTAGCCTCATTTCGTTTTTAAACAGGCTTTTATAATCTTGTCAGATTAGTGTCGGACTTTTAAGTCTACGCCTTTATTTCTATTAAAGGAAAAGTAAAATCTCTACACTATCTTACCTCAATAGAAAAAAGTATTATTCCATTTTTGACTAGAATAAAATTGTATATTTATTAAAGTAAGGATTATAATCGAGTATATGTTTGAGAAAGTCGAAACATTGGAAATTCCGTTGTGTTTTTGTGAATAAAAAAATTGCAATTTTTTATTGTAAAAATCATAATTTATAAGTTTATGGAGATGACCGAAGCCATAAAAGCTGTCATTGTTAGCAGATAGTTTTGGTATAACGTCAGAACGACACCTTTACACAACCTGTAGTGCCTCTTGGCTCGTTTGACAGACTCAGGGTTGTAATCAGTAGGCGCCAGGGTTATTGTCTAATCTTCGCTATCTTCCGCCCTGTCGCTGAAGAGACATTCTTACACTTTTCATCCTTACTTATAAAAGTATAGAAATAATTTTTTAACATCAAAAATTTTTGTAAAATTTCTTAACGTAACACACACAGACGAATCTCAAAGTAAAGAAATTGTTTCTAATTGTTAACAAGTAGTGTTTTTTTTCATCGAAGTAAAATAAATATATTAATTAGTTTTTAACTAATAAATGTCAGACAGATATTTGGTAATAAGTTTTATTGCTGTTTTAACGTTAAAGAAGTAAGTTTTAAGTTGTGTCAGGAAGACGTTTTATAGGTAATAATCATAAGGTAGAGTAAATTGTTACCTTTTACAAAGAGAACAAGCCACATTCCTTTGACTAAAAAGATAGACAGTCTGTAGATAACAATATAATGCCAAATACCATCATTATCGAGCTTTTTTTCTTTTCTTAAAAAGATGAAAGACTTCATCTTAGATCTCTATTGATGTATCTTTGCACGAATGTGACTCTCTCTCTTATAATTATAGCTATTTCAGATTAATATTCCTAAATAGCATTTTTTACGATACTTGTTAAGAGTCTGTTTTTTTAATATCATAATAAGATATTGATATTCAATAATGTCTAGTATGCTGATACATCTTTTAACTACTGTATGTCTCTACCTACTTAATTATTAACACTATATTGCCTTAAGGAATAGAATTTGAGACTTGTAAAAATTTGTAAGATTTTTAATTAATTTTAATCAGAAATTTATTTGTAAACTTTTATATTAATATATAAAAAACAATAAAATTAACACGTAAAAAGGCCGAGTTAATAAATTCACTCAATAAAATCAAGGATGTGCTCTCAACTTCTTTATGTCTAAAGGCGTTGAGACCGCATCCTTGGTTTGGGTATAAAGTCACGAACTTCGAAGTTAAAAATTCGGTTTCTTTTGATGTCTGCCCACGCTAAAAATACTTGCTTCCTACCACTCTAAGAAGTACTTTAAAAATGTTTTTATGTACATATTTCGATTGGGCTAAATATCTTTTAAACTGTTGTTACGACATCACGACATTTCCATTAAAATTCTTTATATAATAAATATCATTAGCAGATTTCATTACATTTATATTATATTATTAGAAGTTTCCCCAAATGTTTCGTGTGTCATAGTTTATATTATTTATTTATCGGCTAAGATCAATCAAACGCAAGAGAAGTTTTCCTTTCGTATTGTCACGTTATCCATGTTATGATTCACCTTCTTGAATAAGTCAGAAATATCAAATTTTACTGATATATTCTAGCGAATTGGTGAAGTAGAAAAATATTTACTTAGTATTTTGTATATTTTACTGTCTAAATTAAACATTATAGGCCTATCTAATTATCTCTGTTCGAATTTAAAATACTATATATTGTCACTAATCAAGCTCGGTTTAGCTAATGATTTATTAAATTTGAAAGTTGTTTTTCGATATATCTTTGGAGAAAATTAATGTTAAAAACGAAAATTTTTCTTAGTAGAAGGAAATAATCTGTAGGTAGGCCTATTATTTTAAAGAGACACAATACGTTTTGAGCACAAAATAATAATACTTCTTAGAATAGTAAGATGCAAACATTGCAGGAAACATACAGAAGAATGGTTTTCTCATCCTACATTATATTATACTACAAAAGTAAAACTTGTTGAAAAAGATGTTAAACTGTTAGTTTTTAACACAAACAACAAGTTTCCGCAACTAGTCAATATATCTAACACCCTTTACAATATCAATATTAAAGCTTAATATTTACTTCGTTATCACAGGAAACTTCTGCCTTATTTTCATTTATATTGTATACACTAAATTTCCACTATATTATAGTTCAAATAGTCTAACAAACGAGGTTTAAAAATAGATCTACCTTGATTTAGGATGTTTCAAATCTGACTATCATTAAAGAAATACTCACAGAATTTATGTATAATTTATTAACAAATTTAGAAAATATCGCTTGATGTACAAATTAAATTTACAGTTTATTATTTTAAACTAAATTTAGACTTGTATAAAAACTGAAAAATACNTGTTTTTTTAATATCATAATAAGATATTGATATTCAATAATGTCTAGTATGCTGATACATCTTTTAACTACTGTATGTCTCTACCTACTTAATTATTAACACTATATTGCCTTAAGGAATAGAATTTGAGACTTGTAAAAATTTGTAAGATTTTTAATTATTTTTAATAAAACTTATTGAAAATTTACTTATAAGTTCTAAAATATATTTTTATAAAGTTGTATCGCTATAAACATAAGTTACATTGATTCGTAGACTCAAGTAAATTTGATTTATATTATTATCGAAGATTAAATTTAATGTTAAAACTATAAATATGAGTTAAAAAGTGTAAGAAATGTTGAGAAAATGAAGATTAGAAGTTTATATATGAGAAAGTAAAGAGAAATTTTAAATTTTTGCTATCGAAACATGCGAAATTTTATGCTTTTGAACATTCTCAAATATGTTAAAATAATGCAAATTACTTTTTTATTAGTTGATTACTTTATCTAAAGAAATTAGTTTAAAAAATTCCGATAGATAAGAAAACTGAATAGTGTCGAAATAAAAAATATAGACTAGAGACTAACACAAAATTAAACAAAATCCTGGCAAAAACCACACGAATAAGTGTAGGCTTTAATCATATATGCAAATCACATATGAGAACGTTATGTCTCATAGAATATCATAAGTTACCCCATTAATCTAGTGGTTTTTGATGTATTCAGTTAATGATGTTCAAAACCGTCAACTTGGGACTTAAAACAAAGTGGAACGATATTAACCTATCCTATAGAGTGTAGAGCACAATATGTTGTAATTGGATAGAATTTCACGTTATTTAATGAAAGGTGTGGCCGACCTTGAATGGATAGATTAGGTACACTTGGCACGCCGAAGGTTTATGTCAGTCGACTCCGCCCAGAATCTATCATTAACAAAATAACTTTAATAGGACAAATGTCCAATAGGACCATTGCAATTATGTTAAAATGTCAATTATATCAGTTACATAGATAACAACTTAAACTAGACTAACTTAAACTTTAAATAAATCTCTTATTTTCTAGCTATTTTGCGTTTACTGAATCGCATACAACACATAGGCCTACAATAACGATTTTACCTCTATCCCGTGGGATATAATGATTCATTATGTTTGAATTTATCCAATATTTTTAGTTTAATTTTCATTAATTATATATTTATTTTATAATTTTGTTTCGTTTTTTTAATATGCTAAATTATTTTTATATTTTGAATTTAATCTTACGCGTTAGCAGAACTGAACAGTAGACTAGGCCTATTTGTTAAGTCGTGACAAATTAAAAATAAAAACAATTAAATTTAATATTAAGAAAGGTTTTTGATTTTAAAGAATTAGTATATAATATTTTATGATCTGAGTGAGAAAGGATGCTTTCAATAGCGGTCTAATCCATTTTTATCGAAAAATTAAGATATTTAAGCTCATATTTTAATCATTATTAGTCTTATAAGAAGAGAAACATATGTTTTTGATATTTATAAAAGAATTATATGTGTAAAATCTAAATTATTTGTTACAGTTTCATTCAAATTTTGTTATAAAATAGCTTTCTTAATCAGATATTATGGGTTTAATTTAGATTATATTGCTATAAAAATTAATTTCTACCAAAATAAATGATAAATACAATTTATATTTTTAATATTATAATCAGAGTTAAGTGTTTATTATATAAAGCTTCCGGATTTTCTTGGAATAATATGAGTAGTTTAATAAGAAATTCGAGCTATAAAAACAATAGGAATTTTCTTAAAATATAATTTCAAAACCGCTGGTTTTTATTCACGATTGAATTAAGCAAAACATTGTAAAATAGTTAGGTGCTAATTCGTCGACTGCATTCATTTATCAAACGTTAGAAGCATCACACATAATAGGGAATGGTTGCTGACGTGTACATTCAAACAAATCTAGAGAGAAGTAACGTCTTACATCCCAAGAGATGAAAATTTTTAAATTTAATGCAGTCGACTAGTAAAGCAGTATAGAGAAACGACAATCCGGGACGAATGGACGCCAATGTTTCGGCCCGTTAATCTATTTAAACCACCCACTGCCCAATTTCTGCATCGGTCGCCAATCCACTTGATTGGATTTAATTTAATTGCCGCGACGGGAAAAAGGAAAGTGGAGGGGGAAAAAAATTCATGTAATCTCGATAAGTTACCATGGATACGAAGAGTAAATGAGATGTGACGTATACCAGGGCCACGTAATCGGTTAGGAAACGGTAATTTTCAGGTTGACAAAACTTGGCTGTCATTTGATAGACAAGTGACACTTCTGAAATGATTTTTTGAATTTTTTTTATTATTTTTTATGTTTAGGAGACAAACTGCAGAGGAGAGGGAAGCTGAAAGACAAGCGGCCAATCGACTGATGATGTCTCTTCAGGCAGAAGTAGTCAGCAAATCCATCTACGATTCCACTAGGGATCCATTGTGCATCAGCAACGCTTCTCTTCATGCCCTGCAGAATCTTCAACCGTGGGCTAATGACAGTGCTGCTGCGGCTGCTGCTGCTGCATCAGTTAATTCTCATCATCAGGAGAGATCGGGAACTTATCTTCCTCCACCGTCACTCACATCCCCTATTTGTTGATTCCTTTTTAATGTACATATATTATATAGACTGTAGGACTTAGATGAATAGAGGACTTGAAAGGATTCTTTACGAATGGAATCCGATTAATTTAGGATTGTTGAAGAATAGTTCATAATGAGGTGACTTCCGAAGAGTTATAAAGCTAAAAAAAACAAAAAAAAGCAAAAAAAAACTACCACCGAAATGCTGTAAATTATTGCCAGCTATGAAGATTTTTGCAATAAAAAATTTTTCGAACGAGTTTTTTTTATTTTTATTTAAAAAATTCCAAATATAATTATTAAGTAATAAGAATATATTTTACTCACCGTACAAAACGGTTCGTAACAACATTTTTTTAGCAATAAATTATATAAATTTTAAATTAATAATTTAATTTATCAACAAATTAAAATATAAACTCGATCTAGAAACAAGATAGAATTATTAAAGTCTTAAAAACAAATCAGAATTAATTAAAGTTTAAAAAGAAATAGCTAAATTATCTTCGACAATGTCGTAATGATAACTTACAAATGAAAAAAAAAATTAATATTTAACAAATAATAATCATCTTAAAACTATAATAAATCATTTTATTGTCTTTTTAATAAATCAAATCGAGAGGATTAATTTTTCTTACTATTTTTAAGTAAAGAAGAAGAGGAAGAAGAAAAAAGTCAATAGAAAAAGCACTATGATACTTAATAGGCATCCAAGCTTTGAAGGTTCATTAAACATTCATTAGAAAGATAACATCGACAGATATCTTAAGTGAGTTTAGCAGCTCAAAGCAAAGAAAACTCTCCTCTTTGTTAAAGTACAACAACATAAGTGGATTAAGACACAGCTATTTTTACATTACGTCATTAAAATCAATGAAGATAGGAGTGACATAGGCCTATGATCGCATTGTCACTCGAATCGCTTCTTTTTTCTTGATTAAATCCACAAGAAATTATTGTAAATTAGTTTAGACCTGTTTCGTCATTCTTTTACATGTTTAAATTGAGTTATTTTTACAAAATTTTCTCCACTCGTTGGGGTGTTTTTTCTTAAAAAAAAATTCTAACACACTAAAAAAAAGTTTATTACTTAAACTTTCAAAATCTCATAAAGTCTTTGTTGATTGTAAAGTTTGCTGTGATGTTTATAAGATTTAAATTTTTTTTTTGTAAGGAATTTTTTACTCACTTCAACCTTTATTAGATATAAAGGTTTTATTTAATAAATCATAAATGTTTTCTTCAGTTAGATAATGTTGTAAGAGTTTATTAAAGATAAATTTTTTAACTCGAGTATACTACTATTATTACTTTACACGTGTTTAAAATAATTTAAAAAGTTTCAATTACGTTTAATTAATAAATATTAATTAAGAATGAATGTTAAATTTATTAATTATTACTTTTTTAGAATAAATTTTTGAGTTTTTAAGTTAAAATTGAACACGAATTGAAGCTAAAATAGAGTATTCGTTCAATTAATTAGCAATTTAACGTTGATAAAATCAAAATTAAGCTAAATATAATCAAATTTTCGTTTAAAATATATATTTAATTTAGGATTTTTATATCTAAATTTATTTTAGTACCTAAATTTATACGTGTTAACGGGTCTTATTAAGAAATATTTCGGTATAAAGCAAATTATAACGATTCTAAAATACTCTTTGAAAACATGAACATTTTTTTACATGTGTTTATTTTATAGGAGAAAAAAGATAAAATTGATGTAAGACGACGTTATTTTCAATAGAATAATTGTAGGAATCATTAGGACATAATGAATCACGTATAACAGATGTAATTTTGACAATAACCAACACTCAAATGTTATGTCAATTAGACCTTATCTAACATGGCATACGGCCCGGGTCATTAAGGATAATGTTCCGAGCAAATGTCTATTAATGCTTTAATTTTTATAATTTTGAGTCAGACGTAGAAATAAAAAAAAAATTCGATAGAAAAAAAAATATTAAAAAAAAGACATTTTTTCTAATGTTTTTGTAGTGGCATCTCTCCAGATAAGTACAGAGCTTTTTCTCTTTACAATGTTCAGAAAGGCTATCTATTAATGATATTATCTAATTTGACTTCCTACTATTAAATGACTTATTTCCCTTTTTGTCAACAATAAAAAATAACTTATCTTTATTGTATTGTTATCCAGACTTTTTCTAAAAGAGGAGAAAGAACTCAAATGATTTTTGTCATTTCTTTTATTAACAAAAAAAAAATAAAAAAAAATTAATAATACAAAGTTTTTAATAATATTTTCATAAATTAATTACCTTAAAATTATTTTAATAATAATATATCGATCTTTACTTAATAACTAATTAATTATTTTAATTAATATTAATAATATCAAAGTATATTCCATGTCATGCGGTTCTCTCTTCTATATTTTGTCTGGGAACGATTCTGTATCGTTGTCATAGCAACTTTACCAAATGCTGCATCTCCCGAGTAACTTATGAAGGTCGTGCTCCATTAGACGTCAAAGGTCAAGTAAGATATGCAGAGTAATTAAGCCAGCCGTTAACTATGGTGTGGCTGTAATAATTTCACTCTTACTCATTAAGAAAAATCTTAATTTTTCTTAGCTAAAGATCGTCTTTAATAAAATTTCGGAATTATTTTGATTAATATCTTTCAAGTAGCTTATGTCTACTTAAAATTCTACAACACTTAAATATGTAATAATTTGGATAATAAATCAATAATTAATAGAAATTTATTAGATTTTTATTCTTAAAATTTTATTTTTAATTAATTAATCTAATTAAAACAATGATTTAAAAAGTAATACATTTGGAATGTTTGCTTAACATAAATATAAAGAAAGATAACAAGACATTAAATAAATTTAATTAAAATTTGTCTTAACCTTTTTAAAGATTTGTAATAAATATTTTACAATAATTAAAATAGAAATGAGAATTAATGTCGATGATGTCTCACAGTAAATTAGATTTAAATATTTTATAAAAATTAATTAATTGTTTTTCTTTAAATATTTAAGGATTAATTATTTTAAATTGGCGAAAACAATGGATAGAAAAATTAGGAAAGATTGAAATCAAACATATGATACAGAAAGTGAAATGACAACAAAAGTGAAAGCAAAACCAGTTGTACAACTCGTGGATACATTTTGAATATCTAATGTTCTTTTCTCCGAATAGATTTGATATCCTTAATAAATATAATTACATGTTACATTTGCCAAAGCGGGTCCTCTAATAATATAAAAACACATTTGAGATTTGAAGATAGATAAAAACTTCTCTTATAGCTGCGACTAGTTGAAACGGTGTAGTACCTGTTATGAGATCTTAGTTCATCGCACTTTCTATACCTTACAAATTTTTCATTGGTTATAAATACTATGTTTATAAATTCATATTTTAATGATAGATAAGACTCGGGGTTCAATTGCGATTCTTTAAGTGATAAAGACAAATTTTAACTGTTATATATACAGCTGATTGACCGTACGTTAAAAAGGAATGAAGAGAAGCAAGTTACAAAGTTTATACATGATTTTCTGATATTTAAATAAAAAAAATATACAAAATAATTATAGAAATTTCAATGTAGTTTGCTTTAAAAATTAATAAATCAAAGACATTTGTTCCTAAATTGTATTTTATGTGTTATATTTATGTGTGTGTTGTTAAAGAGGAAACAAACTCCAGGCTTCGAAAACTAAAGAAGTATTTTTTGGAAAAATCCAAATATGAAATATCATGATTGCTATTTCTAGATAAGATTTAGACATAAGTTGTTTCTTTAGATAGTGGTTATTCAATTTAATGACTATTCTCTGGTATAAAGGCAGTTAGTCAGGATTAAAGCGTAGAGTTTTACCATTTATAAAGATGCCATATGCAATTCATAAATCAACTTAAAGTAGATTTAAAGATTTTTTGATTTCTTAATATAAAAAAAGAAGTCTGAAAAACATTTTATGTCATGTATTTTTTTTAAAAATAAATAAAATAATTATTTTTAATGAGAAATATCTTTCGTTAGTGCTAACTTACGCTATTGACGATGTGTAAAAACTGATGAATTATAACGATTCTAAAATACTCTTTGAAAACATGAACATTTTTTTACATGTGTTTATTTTATAGGAGAAAAAAGATAAAATTGATGTAAGACGACGTTATTTTCAATAGAATAATTGTAGGAATCATTAGGACATAATGAATCACGTATAACAGATGTAATTTTGACAATAACCAACACTCAAATGTTATGTCAATTAGACCTTATCTAACATGGCATACGGCCCGGGTCATTAAGGATAATGTTCCGAGCAAATGTCTATTAATGCTTTAATTTTTATAATTTTGAGTCAGACGTAGAAATAAAAAAAAAATTCGATAGAAAAAAAAATATTAAAAAAAAGACATTTTTTCTAATGTTTTTGTAGTGGCATCTCTCCAGATAAGTACAGAGCTTTTTCTCTTTACAATGTTCAGAAAGGCTATCTATTAATGATATTATCTAATTTGACTTCCTACTATTAAATGACTTATTTCCCTTTTTGTCAACAATAAAAAATAACTTATCTTTATTGTATTGTTATCCAGACTTTTTCTAAAAGAGGAGAAAGAACTCAAATGATTTTTGTCATTTCTTTTATTAACAAAAAAAAAATATAAAAAAAATTAATAATACAAAGTTTTTAATAATATTTTCATAAATTAATTACCTTAAAATTATTTTAATAATAATATATCGATCTTTACTTANTTTTCCTTTTTTTTTTTAATAACTGGTAGTCATAATACTCTATATTGCTTCTATAATCACAAACGGACATTGTGCAAGGAAAAAAAATGAGCAAAAATAATATGTAACACCATTTTAGCATCATAATTTTGCTACTAATTATCTCTAAGATATCATATATCTTCATTTATGTATGTGGATGTGATAGCGTAAAGATTTCGTTGAAGAGCAATGGAGAAAAGAAGACATTTGAGCTAAAGTAAAAGAAAAAGTGTCGAGTTTACTGATGGTTTTACCGATATAATACTACACAGGACTAATTAGACTTATGTCATTAACCTCGAGCAGTGGTAGCGAGACTGGGTTTATGTTACCGCCATATATCATCTTCAGAAGTCCTTCTTTGAACGTTCCAAAAAGACATAATTATGTTTCGGGGGTGCTAAAGTGTTATTTAAATGTAATAAGTAAAAAAACTAAAGA